TTAGATAAAACTATACCATCAATACGTATTGAACCACAAGAAGGTGTCTTTAATCCATATGAAGAAAAAGATTTTCTTATTGTGTATACACCAACAGAAGAAGGAAAAATTGCTATGTCTGCTAAAATAACTTGTTGGATTGGTGATCGTGCAAAACAAGGAGCTGAAGTTTATCATGTAATTATAAATGCATCAACACGTGAAGGTTTTCTTCGTGCTAGTGAAGCACAGCATGATATAGGTCCAGTTGCATTAGGTACATCAGCAACGTATGATCTTTATTTTGCTAATGGTGGAGATTGTTTACTTCGATATCGTCTTTATACGAAACAAACAATATTAGATAATAAAAGTGATAATGAAGAAATGTCTATACTTGAATTTTTATCAAATCAAGATGGACAAGGTGAAATTGATGGTAAAGCGAAAGTTTGTATACCATGTCGTATACATCCATTTAGTCGATCTAATTATCAAATCGATTTTTATTATGATTTATTAGATGATTATAATCAACCTTTAAGTAATCATACAAATCATTTATGTACATTAAATGTTCATGGTGTATATCCACATTTAGCATTTACTGATATACTTGGTTCACAACAAGCAGCATCATTAAGTAAAGGTCTTCTATCACAAGCATTTAATTTAATAAAAATCAATACTCTGTTAGCTAAAGAACCTACAGCGGAAGAATTAACTTATGCGATTAATTCACATAGTGATGATAAACCACTTTCGTTGAAGAAAATTAAAATAGAAAATGAACAATCACCAGTACCATCACTTGAACAACCTGAAGCTATTACATTTAATTTTAATGCTGCACCAATTAATTCATTACCATCTGAGGTTCATTTATTATTAGAAAATTGTAGTGATCTTGATACAACATGGTCATTTCTTTTTCCAAAAGATTTACAATGTGAATTAGAATATTGGTCACGAACAGGAGATTTTACTGAAGATGAATTAAATAATATGAAATTAAAAGATAATAAAATATTTGATATTAATCCGAGAAAAGGATTTTTAAAAAAAGGTGATAATGTTACAATAACAATTTCATATAAACATATTTTTCCTGGTCAACATACATTACCAGCTATATTTAAAGTAGGACGAAGCCGAAAAGTGATGTTAAATTTAGTTGGTATAAGTGTTGAACCCGGAGAAATTTATATACAATTTTATTCAACTATACATCATTTATTACCTGTTGAACTTGGTGCACAAGGAGTACCTGTACAACAATATGAATTATATAATGGTGGTACAGTACCCATTCATTTTCAAGTTGATATGAGTCAATTAGAACAAATATCATTATTAAATTATGGATTTTGGGTTCTTGATTGTCTTACACCTGAAGGTATTATAGCACCGAATAAAAGTTTTCTAACACAATGGGTATTTAATCCACTTGAAGCTCGTGAATATGTATTTGATATAAAAATTGATTTGGAAAATGATGAACCAGCATTAATTACATTTATTGGACAAGGTTTTGATAAACGTAATGTACCATTAAATATTGAAAAGATTTTAACAAGTCATCTTGAAACAACAAAACAATTAAATTTAAATGAACGTTTAGTATCATTAACAAATGATCGTATGAATTTTGGTAATTTACCATTATTTACAAAACAACGTCATATTACATTTCTTAAAAATCAATCAAATAAAGATTCTATTTCATTTATTTGGCATGTAACAAATCCGGAACAAGTTCGACATATTCGAATTCAACCAGGTTTGTATTAATTTAGAATTTTTTTTGTAAAAAAAAATCATATGTTTATATATAATAGTTCGTGGTAAAATTCAACCTCGACAATCTTTACCAATAAAAATCACGTTTATGGCAATTGAAGCACCAGCATTTCATGATATTGATCTTGTTTGTGAAATATATAATGAAACAACACTTAATCAATATAATCTTGCTGTTAAAAAATGGGAAAGTAATGTTCAACAAAAATGGGAACGATTAGAAATTGATGATGAAGAATATGAAGCATGTTTACGTAGTGGAGTAATTGATAATAATAATAATAATGATAATAAACAACAAGGATCAACATTAGAAATGGGTCAAACATTACCACCTGTTGTCGTTAATTATGAACATGAAGAAACGAATCTTGATAAATCAAGACGTTTACGTGCAAATATGAAAAATCTAATGAATATTAGACCACAAATGCCTGCACCAGAATTATTACATTTAGCATTTACAGCACGTACATTAGTTTATAATGAATATGTTGATTTATGTAATGATACAAGTCAATTAGAAAAATATTTTATTGATACATGTTTAGGTGGTGATTATCGTCCTACAAATTTGAAAAAACATGAAGATAGTTCAATAAATGATGAATTAGAAGAAAATAATAATGAACAATTAACAATAAAAGTTGAAGAAGCTGATTTACTTCGTAGTACATTATCAGATTTACTTCGAAATCTTTTATGTGATCGAGTTTTTGCTGATTCATTACCAGAAATGATGAATGAATCAATACCATTCTTTTCACAATTAAAATATACTGAAGTACCAAAAGATAATAATGAACAAGAAGAACCTAATGATTCATCGAAAGATGATCAAATTCAAACAAATCTTGATGAAGCTAGTATACGTGAAACTGATCAAAGTCTCCTTTGGTCAAGTACTCTTCAAGAAAATACTTCTTTTCTCACAAAAACAACACAACCTACTACATCATGTTTAAAACGAATTATATCAACCTCATCATCATCTTCATCATTACCTGATTTTGAACAAAAATCACATATTCATGATATTGAACATGTAAAAAGTAATCCAAATATAACTTCATTAATGGAAGATGTTTTAGAAAATACTATATGGAATATTTTACAAGAAGCATATCATAGTGAATTTAGTTTAACAGCTCGACCACGTCTTATTGCATTACCACCTAAACGTCAATCACCTTCATCACAACGGGCTACTTTCAAACAGACTGATACACATCAATCAACTTTTCCACAACCTCCAGTTATTATGACAGAATCTTTTGATTAACAGT